CGAACATATTTATAGTTTTTTGTTGATATTTTTTTGATTTAATGTTATAAGTATAAAGCAGCATTCGTAAAAAGATAAAATATAATAAAATATATACATTCATTAGCATCTACCTACTTGTATTGTTCTGATTCTTACTGCCTTGTCACCGAAATAAAAAACAAAGACGATCCAAAGCCTGTGTGAATTTAAAATTTGTGTTTTCTAATAATATTTACAAATATTATGATTTCTTTAATTTGAAAATGGCTTGAGTGACTTCCGGTGTACGTCAGCAAATCTTTAATTTGTTTCTGCGTATTAAATGATTATTTTAACACATCATCGTCCAATACAACATCATCCAAATACTTAAGATACCACCTTGTGTTTACTTCCTTCTCAATGATTGTTTTTGTAACATTGTAGTAACATACAAGTATCAGTCTGGTTTTTTTCCAGAAGGTTTTTTTGGAAGCAAACAGTCATATTTCAAATATATCGTTTACATTTAATATTTACATATGACAAAAATACCAAATAGTGCCAATAAATCTACATTAACAAACCATATTGTATTTACATTGTAAGACGACATAGTCGGGCAACAATTTTACTGCAAAACCTGTTTTAAATTTATTTTAAGAAGATTAGACCCAGTGCTAAAATTATATAAAAAGTTAAGTGCATAGTTTTTATGAAACTAAGGAGTAATATATAATAAATACTTTACTGTAATATTTATATAATTTTATTACGTATTGTGAACAATATGAAATGTTGCAGCAAATCTTCTTTTCTTTACATTTTATTTAAAGAACTAATTTATATTCCTTTCTGCAATGTCGTTAGCTTTAAATTCCTCTTTTTCTTCATTTTATATGCAACTACATTTAGTACAACACTTTCTTGTTGATCCTATAGTACCTTAATCCATTAGGTATGTATCGAAGACATTGTACCCATACCTACTAGCTGTATTCCGCGACTTCGTGCGCGTAAAAATTATTGCTTTGGTTTTAATTTTATTTTTGCGCGGGACTCTAATATTTTTACCAAAATAAAAGTAGCGTAAGTTACTAATTATAACATCTGCCATCTTTCGGTGAAAGTCAAAATCACATTACAAACGGATACTTCAATTTTGTTTATTTGTATAGATTACCTGGTACACATCTACCATCGATTAAAAATCATCATGGAGATACGTTGTCAACCCAGTGAACTAAGTAATGCTTCGACACCATGACAAATATCCCCCTATGAGGCAACAAGTGGGGGAGGCCTGTGGCTAGCAGTGAACTTCTGATAGCCTGTAGCGATGAGGAAATCCAAGGACTACTGTGAACAAGTAGAGTGTTTCATCATAATTCCCTTGCTTAAACAATTTCTACTAATTCTTTAATCCGTTCCTACTTTAGTCGTGCATGAACAGTTCCGCGGTAGATATGATGGTGATGAAGTTGATCAAAAGTATTCCTGGATAGAATAGAATAGAATACTTTTTATTCAGTACAAATTAAAAGTAATTATTATTAAAAGTAGGTATTTCTTTATATTATCACTTGTTCGGAAAAAAACCTGTGTCCTGAGAGAACCAGCAAGAAACCCAAATGAAACGATGTAACGGCTATAACCTCATCTAATTTCTGCGCTAAAACATAAAATATTTATTTGTATCTATTGTTAAAGTCCAATTCTTTAAAAAGTAACTAATACTTACTTACTTTAATAACATAAATGATATATTTATAACCCGAAGACATAAAAACCTTAAGAAATTCAGTTCAATATTGACTAACGTTAATAATATAAATTATTTTAAAACTTTAAAGCAAAGTTTTATATTGACTGTATAATATAAAAAGGTAATTTTAATCATCTCTAAAAGATCCATCTAATCTAGAGATGCTAGAAACTGTGTCGCCGCGTCCATCGCGCTCTCACATATTCGTATCAGTTCGTTCAATTTCCTTATGATCTCACCATCATCCTTCACAGTTAGCTACCGTGGGCAAACCTTTGTTACAGAGAGCACAAGGGATCTGTGATAGCAACCTGGCCACCGAGCCTCAACACGCCAAACATGTTCTAAACGACAACAAGCTTCGGGTCCAGTGCCTAAGTCACAGTGACCGAGTGAAGCCGGCCACAGTCGAACTATATATCTCTTATATATAGGACAAACAAAAAGATCAATTAGAATCCGCATAAAATAACATATAGCTGACGTGAAACACCAACGTGTCGGGATATCTGCAGTTTGTGATCGTATCCTAGACGGACCTCGCTATTAAATCAGATTTGATAGACCACAAATCCTCGCGAAAGAACATCGATTCCTACCAAGGATGATACGTGAGGCTATTGAAATTAAAAAACATCCTAATTTCAATAGAAATGGAGGATGGGTACTATCACCTGCTTGATATCCTGTAATTAAAAAAATTATAACTTAACCCAAGCATACCACTGCAAGACTTCAAGACACTTAAGTTCTTTTTGCGTAGATCGGGTATTAATAATGATTAAAAAGCAAAAGGTACTCCGGGTTACCACTGACGTCGGGACATCGGTCACCTCAGTCCCCCGTGAAAATGGATCCCGGAAATCACCCGAAACGTCGGGAATTTAAAAATCAAGTAAATTAAACGCGATAAAATCCGTAAAAGTAGTTTAAATCAATACATAGTGTGGCGGCGCTGTCGCCGCGCCACAAGCGAAATACACAGAAGCCTAAATCACGCTATGAACATTCCGAATCATAAACAGTATATATAGAACATCTCCGAACTATCACACGTGTTGGCCGCTCCCCGGGCAGAACACCTTGCCCGGCGGGAGATCTCCCCTTTTCCTTCCACGGTCACAGTGGTGACCCCGACGTGATCTGAAAACGCAACCAACCTTCGTAAACTTCAAACTTCATCATCATCATCATAGAATACCCCACCCATTTAACACCCCACCCCACCCAATTAACAAAATTAAACCGGCGTACCACTGCACGACTTCATGATACTATAAGCTCGTTTTGCGTAAATCGGACCAAAATTAATATTCAAAAACTGAAGGTAGCCGGACTAACTATGACATTGGGACGTCAAACATCTCAGTCCCCACGTGACCGTGGGTGCTGTAAAGCACCCGAAACGTTGGGATAGTAAAAACAAATTAAAGTAATTAAATGCGATAAAATCCGTAAATAATAGTTTTATTCAATGTGTGGTGTTCGCGTAAATTTAAGAAATCGTTATGCAGTCTTCATATCTTGAAAGCCATCTAGCTTCACTAGGTTCATCGCAGCACTGGAATAATAATGCTTCCTGTTCCTGCAAGCTACTCTCTGCGCTATACAGTGTTCGGCACGGCTCTGAGTCTTACTGCTCGCCTCTGCTTCACGGCACTCTCACAGATTACTTGCCTTCTTCTCGACTCACCGCAGACTACAAGGCAATCTCCTGGCACTTGCACATTCGTCGGCAACGAGACTGCACTATCGACCTCCGGTCTGAGCAGGGGGTGATGTGGCGGCGCTGTCGCCGCACCACAAGCGAAATACACCGAAGCCTAAATCACGCTATCAACATTTCGAATCATAAACAGTATATATAGAACATCTCCGAACTATCACACGGAGTGTTGGCCGCTCCCCGGGCAGAATACCTTACCCGGAGGGAGATCTCCCCCTTTTTCTTCCACGGCCACACATAGTAATGCTATCAAGTATAAATCTTTATTCTATTTAACAATATAAAAATTATTTTGATTTTGCGTTTTGGGCCATAATGAACAAGCTGGAACATTTATGGAATTTCTTGTGTTACACTCACAAGGTTACGAAATGCAAGGTAGAGTGGTTAACGCTCGCTGTAAATATAACAGAACGCGAGTAACCCGGGTTCGATCCCCGCCGGCACCAATGAAATTGTTAATTGCAATTTTAAGTGCTGATTTACCACGTGCTCGGCGGTGAAGGAAAACATCGTGAGGAAACCTGCATGTCTGAGGAATAAGAAAAAAAAATATTTCGAAGACATGTGAAGTTCGTCAACACGCATTTGGGCAGCGCGGCGGACACTTCCTTGCCCTAAACCCTCTCAGAAATGAGGGGAGGCCTGAGCCCAGCAATGGGACGTATATAGGCTGTAACTTTACTTTAACTTTTACTCACAAGGTGACCGGCGATTTTTCCATATTATATTTCAAGTTGAAATTTAGAACAGAGATAGGCCTATTTACGAAAATTTATACTTATGAGATCCAAAATAGCCGCGCCTCCCCCCTCTCTTCCCTTATTTTTAAAGTATCTTAAATATATATGGATCGCACTTCCATATCCTAAGTGCCTAATGGGAAATAACAGCTGCATTTTGAGCTCTACGAATTTACAAAGGCCTCAATACCAGTAAAAAGCGTCTCCGGTTATCGTCACCAACCGAAACTCTTCAGTATAATACTGCTGAGTTTCGGCTTAGCTTCTATTTTGCAATGGTATTCTTTTTATTTATTTATTTATTATATGGACCACAAAAGAGATAACAATCAAAATACATCAAAAATTATACATATATACATTTATATATATATATATATATTTATATATTGCTTTTCTTTTAAAATATATTTCTATTTTATTTCTCAAACATGCAGGTTTCTTTATATGATATGTTCTCCTTCACTACCGTGAAAATTATATACATGTATCATGATTAGATCTTAAACAGTCTAGTTCAAGATATGATCCATTTGTTACAACCCGCAGCACGAAATTCTAGTGGTGACCGTTATTGCGCATAATTGGGTATGATTGGTTGTGCGTATCGTTTACACGGGCTGATTTGCTATCCAGTCGCATGCCATCCCCCGTACTGATACGTCTTTTGCAGCTATACCCTACATGTTTTGTTCAGCGCGAGAGTACTTTTAATAAACACTCTAGGTACTTCGCTTATGCTTGAAAGTCCTTGATAATATACAAATATAAAAGCATAAATTACTTCAAATACGTATTATTTATAATGAATATTGAACATAAATTAAACAAGCCCAAAGGTTTTGAAAAAGGTTGTTTGTTTGACCCGAAGGTGGCCGAAGCTGAGGCTGAAGCTGTTGGTTCGTTCAGACATTAGATATTTTATACTTTAACTATCGATTCGCTCTGGCTTCTCACTTGCGATTTCTGAAACTGATTCTAAACCGTTCTCGAATTAACTTAAACATACGCACACAAAATTTCATTAAAATTGGTCCAGATGTTTAGGAGGAGGATTTCAGTCAAATGCACACGGACATAAGAAACTAATACTTTAATAATAACATAAACAATAATATATTATACTTTAACAATGACACTATCAAAAATGAAAAGCTATTGACCGCATTAACTTCCGCATTGTCCTCCAGTTATGACAGGTCGATCGTAACTCAATGTTTGCACACAATGACCCGTTTGTTAGCAGCGTCGACCAATTGTATGTGTACAAGCGGCAATGTATTGTTCGCGCTGCAATGTCACCGGCCAGGCGTCGCGTTATGTACTGGTTGGTGCATGACGCGTGACTTGTTCCAATGAAGGCCATTACTTAAGTTAATAATTATTGAGCTGTTAAACTGCAAATGAGATTTCAAAAATATTGCAATTCAGCGGTTAAAATTTATTCATTCGTGCTAGGTGTTAATAAGGTTTTTTTTTTATAGAAAATGGAGCAAACGAGCATGCGGCTCACCTGATGGTAAGTGACTACCGCCGCCCATGAACAACGGCAACACCAGGGGAATGGCAGGTGCGTTGCCGGCCCTTTAGAAAGGAGTAAGCTCTTTTCTTGAAGGTCCCTAAGTCCTATTGATCCGGAAAAATTGCCGGTGGTAAACAATTCCACAGACACGCACATTGTGTGTATGATATTTTAATCCGAACAATTCCTCAGAACCGATCAGAAAGAACTCGGTCGTCAACAATTGGAATCACTCTGCGCTAGATACGGTCAAGTGGAAGAAGCTGGCACTGGGGTACCCCAGCCCAGAGATGAGAACGGTATTCCGTGTGAGGCTGAACTTGCGCTTTGTAAAGTTGCTTTTTAGAGGCCAATTTGGCCTTCCTCTCCAAATGATCACGAAACTACATACTATTCGATATGTCGACGCCGAGGATTCCGATGCTAGCTAAGGCAGCAAAGCACCTTCAAACTGAGGAGATACGACAAAGAAGTTCTTTTTAAGGGTTAACGCGCGAACTTGTGTCTTCTAAGGATTAAATTGGACTAGATTTAGACGCCCCCAATCCGAGACTTTGTTCAGCAAAGACTCGACTTCGCAGGATTCCGAGGAATATACGCACGGTCGGTGTATAAGGCATCACCAGTGCATAGCAATGAATGTTACCAGTTTGCGACATATCATTGATACGCAGAAGAAACAGCTTTGGTGATAGCACGCAGCCTTGTGGAACACCAGCGTGTTAATAGGCTTGTAATCAGAGCTGGCACCGTCTACTACGACCTTGATGGTTAGATTAGCAAGAAAACTAGTGATCCAATCGCACAATTTCTCGGGAACCGAAGCCAGAATCGAGACATTCGGCTTGCTGGGCGTTAAAATCATCAAGGATCACGATCTCTGCGAATGCGATCTGCTGTAACACAGAATCTGTAGCCATCTGGACGTGGTCGATGAGTCGGTCTATTTCGGTATTTCCACTATGGGACCTATAGAGGCACCCGTACACGCGGTAATGGTCATCGCTGTCTACGCACAGCCACAGGATGGACAGGTCCATACCTTCAAGACTGCCGAGGCGTCGAAAACAGATGTCCTCTCTGACATATACGCAAACTCCAGCCCGGGGCACAAAGGAGTGTTCTAAATTGTACCCCAGGTAGGAAAAATATGAAGTGTCAGCTGGAGAAGACACCTGAGTCTCGGTAAAAAAGAGCAAGGGCGGCTTCGCCGTCTCCAGATGGTAGTGGATAGCGTTAAGGTTCGAATGAAGTCCCCTGACATTGCAAGAATTCACTGATAGCTTTGTTGCTCCGCTTGGCTCGAGCAGTTTTAGTCGCTAGCCGAATTGAGCCCCCCCCCTCCCCGAATACGCGAGGCAGCGTGAGCACCACGCTCAGGAAGAGTAGGATAACTTGGTCGTGGATGCTCAGCGAGGGATTCGCCGTCACCAGGGATGATGGTACCCTCCTGGGGTAGTTCTTCACTTGATTCCGCTACCATGTTAACAATGGGAAGGTAGTGGGATTGGGACTCCAGCCACATGCACTCACCAAGCGAACTCGTGTCTACTTCACGCTGGTATTCTGTGAGTACTTCTTGTAATTTTTACCTGGCCATGGTTGCAAAGCTTGTTTGCATATTTCGTTCTAAGATGAATTGTTGTAATTATTATTGAAAAGCTAATTGGTGCCTACATTAATAAATAAATAAATAATGTTCTTTTCAGTGTTAATTTAAATATAACACTTGCGCGAAGGTAAAGGAAAACCGCGAAACTTGCATTACTGTGAAATTAAATGCTTTTCCGTTTCATGACTCTCTCAGGCTTCAGATGAGCGCTATGCTTTGATGATGCTGTAACATTCTAGTTTACACATTTTGTTTTCTATTACCACTCCAGTCTAAATTTGATCTTTGCTGAACCTTGCTTGTTGTAAAAAAGTACTTCCGTCTCATTTAATAAAATCGATGCACACGTGGAACTGCGGGAAATCGAGTTGGATCGTTTTGGGGCCGGGGGTAGAGGGTAGGGGGAGGGGTCTTCCCGGGTTAAAACAACAATAAGTTGAGCCATTAAATTCTCACAAGCGACTGAAAACGCCGCGCTTTCTAATTGCTCGGAACACAATAACTCGCGCGTAGGGTCACCATGCAGTTTTTGATGAACTCTCCATTTCGATTGGGTTTTAAAATTTAGTACACTTATATTTATATTTCTTTAGACAATTAATTTTTTATAGAATAAGAGTGACAAACGAGTACACAGTCCACCTGATGATCAGTGAAATTAGAATCAAAATGAAGATGCATTGTAACCCCTGAGGAATAAGATGGAGTGCCTCCTATCCACTATAGGAAAAAAGGATATTTGTTTCTCCACACTTGGAATACAAAACACAGCAGCATTAAACTGCTATTTCACGCTAGTATTCTTTGAAAACGTGGTCCTACTCTAATACTTTTTTACTGGAAACGAGGCATTTCGTGTTTTGATTCTTATTTGAGAATAACTGTGTTAAATTAACAATTCAAGCACACGGACTGTGTGCTCGAATTGTTAATTTAACTTCTATAGAAAGCCTCCCAATCACAAAATTCAAAAGTCCATAACTTGTATTGTTGCCTCCCTTTCGAAAACTCACGTGAATGCGATCCAGGTACTCCTAAGTTCTTTTTTATCCTAGATTTGTTGAAAATCGACTACCTATTCAACTTTATTGATTGAATAATTAAATAAGTGAATAAAGCAACATCAGTTAGTATTGGATCTGGTTGTAATGTATATGGGACCTCTCTGAAAGTAAACTTTATCGATAACAATCAGAAAATTGATTAAACGACTTCTGAATTATAAATACAATCTAAATTTTAATGCCCTTTTTGAAGGCGGTTAGAAAAACGACCTGAATTAAATATCGTATAGTGCCGATACTCTTTAAAAAATCGTGTCCGGGAATAACAAAAGGCTTGGGCAACCTATTTGCACTTTCGCACTCCAACTAACCACTCCGCCAGTCCTCCGCATTATATTGTGACATTATTGAACGCACGTTATTGTGTGTGACAATACGTTCGCGTTTTGTGTGTGTAATTTTATTGTAATTACTAATTACACAAATACAAATTATACTTTTAAACAAATGACGCAGATCTGTGTACAGAACAACACATCACAACCATGTTGTGTGCGTCGTAGAGCCACGCTGCAGCTACATTAGGGTTGCAGCACGAGGGGGTCGGCTCGACCGGGGGGGGAGCACGCTCTCACAGAATACCAGAGTAAAATAGCAGCTTAAGTCTGTTGTGTTTTGTATGGTCTATGTAGATAATCGGAGACCCTTTTTACTGAATACGAAGCATTCTATAGCATCTTATTTCTCAGGGGTATCTGCAATTTTTTTCTTAATCGAGGATAAATACAGATCTTTATGGTCCACAGCGTCCAATTGCCATCAAGAGGACTGTGTGCTTATTTTTACTCTTTTTCTATAAAAAACAATAACAGTGAGTAGTGCGTTTTAGTGTAGAGTAATTTTCTTATTAATTATTTGCCTTACGTTGACAAGATTAATTTTGATTTTTCTCTACACTCATCACACAGCATCATTCCGCTGTTTCACGCTGGTATTCCGTGAGAGCGTGGACCTGCCCCGGTCGAGCCGAGCCATTCGTGCTGCAACCATAATATAGCTGTAACGTGTCTCTATGTCCTAAAAACGTGTTGTTTTTTTTAAATTATTTTAAGCCAGTGTTTGCCTGCCTGCTTGGTACCCACGGCTGTAGGTACTTTTAACTTTGAATTTTCAAAGTGAACACTCGACCCCTGACGCCTCACTGTGTAGTTAATAACGTCCTCCAGACTGGGTTTCGGTCACGGCGACCAGTCTCAATGAGACAAGCCATCTGTGCAGAAGGACAGGATTATAGTGCCGCAGTGGATGCGCAAGCACAGCTGCACTCTCTATTCCCTCACTCTCATAGTCCGATGGGACAGTAATCTGACACGACTTAAGAGAGATCAGGCGCAGGACCAACAGCTTTAAGTACTTTCCGAGGTACGAAGGTGAAACACCTCCAACTTCTAGACAGAGATTTTCTTATCAGATAAACTCAATAACTGATTTAGGTCTGACCCGAAATTCGAACCCGGGACTTAATATTTACGACCGCAAGACCAATGAGGCAGTCGGTAATAAGTAATGATACTCGTAGTTAATATTCCGCTGACGTCCGCCCTCCTCTCGGTGCGTGTGCAGAGTTCGCGCGCGGCTCGTGTTTGCGGATGCTGTTTGTTCTGCTGAGAGCTGCGACAGTCGAGCGACGCTTTTTTCCTTTTGCTCTCAAGTGCTACATGTTTTAAACATTTAGTTTTATTATCTTTTGTTACGGCAGCCGGTTTATATATATATATATATATATATATATATATATATATATATATATATATATATATATATATATATGTTTTTTTTGTTAATGGGATACAATATTTAAAAATGTATTTTGCTTGGTTTATATCACGTGTAGACGGGGGGAATATATAACGTACGAGTGATAGCTAATTTTGACTTAAATCTAAATAATGCCTCAAGAAAGATCCTATGCACTGAAGCCGGGGCACGTGGCTGGTCTTTATATAATACTCAATATAATATCTCTCCTTAATATAATATCTTTACGTGGTAGAGCCATGCTGCAGTTATATTAGTTGTATAGTTGTAGCACGAATGGGTCGGCTCGAAGAACCACGCTCTCACAGAATACCAGCGTCAAATAGTAGTTTAATGCAACTGTGTTGTAACCGGTAAGTGTAGAGAACCGGAGACCCTTTTTACTGGAAACGAGGCATTCCATCTTAATCCTCACGGGTGACAACGCATCTGTATTTTGATTCGTAATCGAGGATAGATGTAGATGTCTATGGGCCGCAGCAACCACTTACCATCAGGTGGACTGTGTGCTCGTTTGTCACCCTATCCTATAAAATAAATCTTCTGTTCGTGAGTTGTGAGTGAAATCCTCGTAAGCGGCTGGACCGTTTTTGATGAAATATTGTGTGTGTGTGATTAAGTTGTTTCGAGAATGGATAAGATTCATAATTGGACGCGGTAGATGGTGCTGTTGTCGAGATCTAGAAGTTATCCGTGCAAAGTTACGGCGGATCGCTAGTAAATATGTAAAATGCTTAATTTAGGTATACGAAGGAATATAATAAGTAATAGTCATAGCTTAATATCACAAACGACTTTTTACAATTATCTGGGAATCCCTGGCTTCTTCTTCTTCCAAGATAAATCAACTTTAAACCAATTTTTGATGTGAAACATCAAGTATCGGTGCGCCTCGGCAGTAGAACCGACTCGTACGTCTCGACGGCAAGCGGCATGACGCTGTGCTCCCTCTGCGCCACCGCTCTAGATTTATATTTTGTAATTGTAATAATATGAAAAATATATTATAATATTGTTTAATTGATTTTATGTTTATTTCTTTATTAGTTTACTTTAATTTTAAGATATATGTACCATTAATTATGATATCTCACATCTGCCGGTCATCACGTAACAATTGTACTCTTTCGGCTTTTTTTAACATAATAATTCCGGGTTAAGCACACCGTCAACTTGATGGTAAGTGGATGCTGTAACCTATGGGTGTTGACATCTATCCTCCATTAAGAATCAAAATACAGATGCGTTGCTACGTGTCACGCCTGAGGATCAAGATAGTCAGGATTACGGGAACGTAAATTGATTTTTAAAAAGAACTTAAAATTTATTTTATTTCTAATTACAATTATTATTATAATTATTTAATTAATACCTCTTGACAGAAGTCAAAGTCAAAACGATCTCGATCCCATGAGATCTGTCTGATATTATACTATTGTTACTGGGTGTGCTTATGCAGCCGCCTTTAGATGCGAACCCGAACAACCTTATGGTCTTGTGGTTGCATAACTTGGTGGAATGCCTTGTTGACAATAAAATAAGTATCTGGCTGTTTACATTTACCATAAAGCAACAGTATGTGCTCGGCAACAACTCCGAGTGAGCTTAAAATGCCTGTATTAGAAGTGGTGCTCCACAGTAGTCGAGAATTGGTTTCTAACCCATGGCTTTATAACTTTTTATCTTTATACATATTATTATATGTTGTACATATTACTATATGTGTATAATTTGAATTTATTATTTATTTATTTATATTTATAACCGATCGGTCCGCTCCGTCTTTTGTAATGCGCAAAGCAGCGGACTGGAATATTTTGCTGGCGTCTGACTTTCCACCTGAATACTGGGCGTCTTCAAGGCAAAAGGGAACAGGCCTTTATTACGCTAAGACAGCGTAACGTCTACATCACCACTTACCACCAGGCGGGAATGTGCTCAAGCACTGGCTTATACCATGAGAAGTAAATGTATCGCCGCTACATTACGCTGACGCTCTCGTGCGAGCACATGCCTTCTCCGGTCGAGCCGACTCACTCGTGCCACACCCGTAATACAGCTGTAGTATGGCTCTACCACGTCTACTTCTCTTTTAAATCACGCACCTGACATGTTCTTGGAAAAGTTTACAACTTTAGTGGACTTAAAGTTGATGGGTCTGCTGTTGTTTAGAAAATCATCCATCTTGTAAAAGTCCACTACTGAACACAGGCACCCCCCCCCCTGCTAGTGGGGTTCCATCGTAGTGACTACACAAACGTCTGCCTGTGCAGACGTGTTGGCGACCGCAGTTGCCTATCCACTACTTCACGATACATGATTCATGTTTAATTGTTTGCTATTTTCTTTTGTCAACAGTTCAAAAGCGGGCGCGCATCGCTGAAGTGTGCTCCAGCCCCTCCACGCCCACGGAAACGTCGCAAGACCCAAAGACACCGAACCCCACACCCCCCCTGAACACACCGCCCCCACGCTCGCCCTCCGACCACGAGCTAAACGTTGAAGAGGAACTTGAGGAACAATCGGAAACCTCACTCACTCCAGAAAACTTGTCAATGAAAGAAAGAAACGACGACATGTCCGTGAAAAAAGAGGACAACGACAAATGGGAGAGTCCCGACTTCAAATACAAGTACAGGCAAAGAAAAGCTGACAGCGTCCCCGAGGCGGTGCCCGAAGATCCCGCGCCATTCCAGAAATCCCCAGTAGATGTTCTTATCAAAGTGTTTCCCAGGCGCAGTAGACAGGAGATAGAAGCGATTCTCGCGCGATGCAAGGGAGATGTGGTGGCCGCGATGGAAATGATGGTGAACGGTGCTGACAACACATACATGACTCCAGAGACTCCTTACCTCCAGAACTATCAATCTAAATCCGCCTTCTCCCCCCTCTCGAATCAAAGCTTCAAGTTTTCCCCCTCGAGGCGGTTTCTGACGCCGCCGTACAGCGGAACTGGTTACTTGCCAACAGTGATCCGACCACCGCCGGAGTACTTGTCCTCGTTCCTGCCACACTCGGAGATGATGTACGGCAGACAGCTGCAGGTGCCGTCCCCCGGGACCTCGCCTACATCCGACAATACCAACAATGAAGGCTTTTCTGATTAGGGTTTGCTTAATCACTGGACTGTGTTATAAAATCTATGCGGACTGAATAAATACTTATAATTTTGCGGATGTAGATATAGATCTTTCATGGTTTCGATCATGAAATAATACACTATTTTACTGACGTATTCAGTTGGCAAGATCGGGAAAAAATTGAGTCATTAACAACAGGGCACGTTTTTTATATTTAATTACAAATCTACTTTAACAAATTGATTAAGATGACTTCTGTCTTAAACACCTGCAATACATTATTTTCTATGTTTACGCAAATATTAATAAAGTTAATTCTTCGAATATCGCCACTACAGCCAGATAGATCAAAGATTTCTATGTATACCAACTACCAAACGGGCTCCGTAGCCTTTATTTTTGTTTCAGTACAGATTACAAATAATACTTATTGAAAGTCACTCTTTTATTTAATTACCAGTAGTTCGGAAAAAAAACCTCTGTCCTGGAAGTATCATCAAGAAACCCAGCGCGACTTTAAAAAAAAACAGCTCACAATTAAAAATACACAATTAATCAACACAAAACAAATTATAAATAACTTGATAGCGATCACCACATCCCCAGGGATTATTATCATCCATGAATTCCTTAATATTATAATAATCATTGTTACAAAAAATTTATTCAATAAAAGTTTTGAATTTTGAGCAGGTCAAATTTTGTATATTTTTTTAAATATATTACGCATTATATTACAGTCAATTTTCATAACTAAGATTTACTCTATCTTAACGGCTTACAAAAGTAAGAAGACTAGTTCTTAATTTTGTAAGCCGTGAACGTTATTTTCGACAATTTTACTCTAAATCAGAATCAGAATCAGAAATCTGATTTTGTTTAATGAACTAAGAAGACGCTGTCATTACTTATGTGCACATTTCTTAACGTAATTAAAATTTACTTCAGATAAGTATTTATTTATCATAACTTTATTTCGCATTTGCCTATAAACGGTACCTAACCGTCGTAAATGAAAATACAACTGCTTGGCATATTTACCGTGCCGAGTACCCGCCGCGCGCAATTGTGACATAGTGTTTGTTCTGAACTGCCGGTCTTGTAGTCTGCATAGAAGTCTTCAAAACAGATAAATGATCGCAGTACATGATCTCTTTGGTCATTTAATGTTAAGACAACTATATTACATAAAACACAGTTTAAGAAACCTATAAAATATTTAGACTTTCGTCGCATTCCACATTAGTGTATAATTTAACTTATACATAGATGTATACTTACAAATACATGTAGCCTAGTGATATTAAGTTCTAAATAAACATTAGATCAAATGTAAATAGCTATCGTATTTACTTAACCGATGCTTTGTAAGTAATGCTTATATAAAAGAATTATATTCTGTACTTAATATTGTAAGTAAGTTTCATTCGAAGACCTAGAAGTGCAACAACTATGTTTTATGATGAAATTGTTTGGATAGATTATTAGTTCTCGTTTTATGGATTCCTTTTGAAGAATTGAAGAATGTACCTTTTTAGTTTAGAAGAGTAAATATTTTTAATGTATTATTTGTAGGTCAAATCACTTTTTTATTGATTTGTGATTAGTAAACTAATTTCAAATAATTAATATAATGAAAAGTGCTAACATAAATTAAGTGTTTTCATGTTACAGCAGCTAAGCATAGATTTTAGGTTTTAAATATCCGACGCGTCTCCTGGTGTGTTACTTACCGCAGCACTAAGACTTCGTGTTCAATAGTTAGTAACTATCCTAGTAATTATTAAAAATAGTCAGTAGTGACTTTTGTAAATATTAAAGCCATGTTTAACTGTAGGTACGGATGGAGACGATTTATTGTAAATGTATGGACACACTGCACGTGCTCAATAAATATAAATATTGAAGAATGAACAGCTTTTAATTTGAATTCAAGTCATCGAGTCGGCTGTCCCATATACCTTTTAATAGAGGTTTTAAAAAAGAAAAACCATTTTTTTAAAGTTTCATCCACATACCAGCTCGTTACAAAATCACGAAAACGAAAAGTTGTATTAAATCCTTAAAAGTAACCAGAGATTTAAAACCATAAATTCTAAATAGGCTATTAGAGTTTTTTATAGCCGTGTAAGTGCCAAACTAATATACAGTCCATAGACACTTATACTCTATTCAGCATCAAAAAGTGGACTGAGGACTAAGATGGAATGATACGCTACTTTTAAAAGAGGTCTTAAGTTCTCTACAGTCACCTTTCATCAGAAGCATTATTCCTCTATTTCTTGATGGGATTCTGTAGAGCAATCCTCCTCCCACCATGTGCCAAGACAACAAACACGATAAGACGAAACAATGAAAATTTTACGTGGTAAAGTCATGCTACAACTATATAATAGTTGTCTATTTATCTGGTTGTGGTGTGTCTACTATTTTATTTGGTTTTCTGTGAGAGCGCGATCATTCTCTGGTCGAGCCGACCCATTCATGCTACATATGGTTGTAGCACGAATGGGTCGGTTCGACCTAGAACCATGCCCTCACAGAATACCGGCGTAAAATAGCAGCTTAATGATGCTGTGTTCCGTATGGTGAGTGTAGAGACCCGGAGACCTTTTTTTACTGGGAACGAGACATTCCATTTAAGTCCTCACGGGTAACAACGCATTTGCATTTTAATTTTTTATCAGGGATAAATGTATATGTGTCCGCAGTATTCACTTACCATCAGGTGGGCTGTGTACTTGTTTGTAGTATTAAAGAGACTGGGCAGGTGGACTGGTGAACAGAACTATTATATAGTCGCTGTTCTGGGAGAGCGTGATCCTTCGCTCGTGTGAGAGCGTGGTCCCAGACGAGCGACCCATTAGTGCTATGATATAGCTGCAGTATAGTTTCACCACATTTAAAGTTGCTGTTTCTCTTTACTTAATGTTCCTTTTTATAATTCATTTTTTTGTAAATTATTTTTACGCAGTCGAGGATTAACAATCTGTACTTAAACTTTTAGTACTTTACATTGAAAAACGAACATATTTAAAACACCGTGGCTACAACAGTACTTCTTATATCGTGTGTTTATCGTATGGTGGCGATGTAAGAATATCCACTACCCCATATCATCCCGCGGGTGACGTAAGAGGCGACGGAGGGAAACAAATCAGGAGCTGGGCAGCAGCGTTACTTCAATAACGATTGAAAATAAGAAATAAACTGCCAACCCGCTTGGCAAGCGTGATAGCTCTGAAACAATCTATGGGGGAGGCCAGTATTCTGCACTGGGCTACAATATATTGTCACGGTAACGGTGTTCTACTTCTGTTGATGTGACCTCTTAATATCGCTCTAATCGATGTCAGCCGTCGAGTCAAGCGATCCGGAAAGAGGCGGTGTCAACTCGACGTCACAGCTCGCAGCCGCCGTGCCGCTAACTGTCGCGCGAATGTCGCCCAAGTGCCGAATGAGTGTCGTACAAGTATGATGTTCCAATCAGAGACTTCCGAATAATCTTAACAGCTGACACTACACGTTTGTTATAAATTATTGACACGACTGTAGACATACACACCGAGGCAGTCAAATTTATCATCAGGTACTTTTTTTAGAATAAGGGTGACGTGGATATTGGTGTAAGCAATATCAGACTAGGTTAAGAAGCAACGTAATTCTAACCAAAGTCAAGTGAAATGAACAACTGTGTTACAATTAAAGGTATTGAAATATTCTCAAGAGTTTATTAAAAAAATACCGAAGATTTTCTAGCCGATAAAAATTCAAATGTGGACGAAAGGCACAACACGCAGTTTTATTAGAAGAGTGGAAAACAAGCATGCTGCTCACCTGATGGTAAGTGACTACCGCCGTCTCGGAACCACTGCAACAACAGAGGATTTGCAGGTTCCTTGACAGCTTTAAAAAAAGGAGTATGTCCGTTTTGTATCGCTTGTGTGGCGTACAAGGCGACAGAGGAAAATTATAACAGAAGATGAGCAGCATATTCCAATTGCCAAGGGTGGCAACTATGGCAAAGGCCTCCCTATGATGCAATCTATGGAAGAGTCGTATGTTGTGCAGTGGACACTTGCAGGCTGTTATGGAAGGCTCCTTTTCGTAGGTTCTTAAGTTGTATCAGTCCAGAAAAATCGCCAAGTATCTAGATGGAGTCAATATATGTTTTTTTAAGGAAGGACCACGCTCATACAGAAAATCAGCGTAAACTATCAGGTTAATTGCCGCTGTGTTTCGTATGGTGAGTGTAAAGGACCGGAGACCATTTTTACTGCATTTTTATTTTTAATCAAAAATAAATGTGAATGTCTATTGGCTACAGTGTCCACTTATAACTAAGTGGACTGCGTGCTTCAACGTCAACCTTATTCTAAACAAAATTTAGACGTTACGTTAGACGTCAATTTGCACGCATACTACGCACATTTTTAAACAAACATATTCGAAGCTTAATATTTTATTAAACGCAGTATCACGCTTAAATCTGTTATTTTACATACATTCGTTAACAACGGCAGTCACTCACCATCAGGAAAGCCGCATACTCGTTTGCCCTCTCCTATATAAAAATCTATTTATATACACATCATCATTACAGCCCTTCACTAGTCCACTGCTGACCGGTGACCTCCCCACATGGCACGGACCTGAGCCACCTGCATCTATTAATGATGATGATGATTTAGACGTGGTAGAGCCATGCTGCACTTATATTAGTAGTATAGTTGTTGTTGTAGTACTAGTTGGGTTGGCTCGACCGGGGAAGGACCACGCTCTCACAGAATACTATCGTGAAATAGCAGCGTAATGCTGCTGTGTTTCGTATGGTGAGTGGAGAGAACCGGAGACCCCTTTTATTGGAAACGAGGCATTCCATCTTAGTCCTCACGGATGACAACGCATCTGCATTTTGATTTGTAATCGAGGATAGATCTGGATGTCTATGGACCGCAGCAACCACTTACCATCAGGTGAACTGTGTGCTCGTTTGTCACCCTATCCTATAAAAAAAATTGATCCTG